ATGCAATTTCTCGGGCAATGCACATTCTTCGATATACGCTTGGTTCGTTCGTCCGCTCTCTCTCTCTCTCTCTCTCTCTCTCTCTCTCTCTCTCTCTCTCTCTCGTTCAATCGATCGATCGATCGATCGTTCGTCCGTTCGTTCGTTCGTCGCGAAAATTGATGGCATTTTTTACTTCGTTAGATACCCGGGAGAAAACGTGAACGCGGAGCGAGAGAGAAATTAATTATTTATTCCTCTAAGTCTCACTCGCGTAAAGTGATTATCCGTCGGCACAATTATCTGTTAGCGGCATCGAATTAAGCCGCTCGATTTGAAGTTTTTGCCACTAACTGTGTCGTGGAGTTTTAAACGTCGCACGGTCGCACTGCGAAACTGTGCTTGTTTCTGGATTTTACAGCGGCGCGATGTTTCAAGTAAACGACGCATATACGTCGGACAACGTCGCGTTCTGAAAAAAATTGCGGCAACTGCATAATCCGTGTCTCGTCTGTTTGCCATGTGATTCTGCCCTTTTTAATCAACGGTTTGCAAATCGCAGAGTACAAAGATTTCCGCGTTGTCCGTCCGGACGATATTTCCGAAACGCGAAATTACGTTGCCGTTCTCGTTATTCTAGGGAGGCCTCTTCGCGTTGTTTGTCGATTCGTTAACGCGACGCCATGTATTTCGCGACAATTGTAAAAGCGCAAATTACGATTGCGCGATCGGGACGGGGGGTGGGGGAGGGGAGCAGTTCGCGTTCGCAAAATGCGATGAACACTTTCGAAAGGGGCATCGGGTTAGTGCGGATTTCACCGTTTTCACGCGGTTGTTATTTCCCAAGTGATTGCATTATGCAGATAACGATAACGAAGTGTGTCGTGTCTCTCAAGCCGACATACATCACTTTGGTATAATCGAATGCGACTCGCGCAAAAATTTTACACTTTTTCGCGATTTTCTTGCTGTTTCATTAAAGCTGTTTCATCAAAGACTGTCAGATCAAGAGTACTGAGCTACTGAAGACATAGAACAAATACCTTTAAGAAAATCATATCACAATGCTAATATCCACTCTATCTCTTGACAATTTTATTGCTATCGATTAACAGTGTATCACTTTTCAATTTTATTAAACCATCCTAAACGACCGGAAGAACGATTACGTGCGATTTACATGGCCGAAAGTGATTTCAATGAATCCACCGTGAAGTCTCTACGACTTCCAGAACTGAAGATGTTCGAACTCGTCGACTTTCAGAACTCAAGATCTCTTAGATATCGTACCACCCTTGAACGCACACATGTCGTCGTTTGTTTGGTCAAGTTTGCGCCGCGTGCTCGTCAAAAAAGCGTAATTTTGGACAGCTCGGGCTTTACAAAATTCGTAACTCGTGCCTTGGTTATGTGAAAACTACGTAAAATTACATTGATACGAGCCTAGAAAAAATGGTTATATTGCCTCTATATTGAATCCCTGTCGTATAGATTTTCCTATAACCGGCTGTGACTTATTTTCCCTGCATTGATATATTTCCACATTTTGTAATCGATTTCTCACAAATGCGTAAAGATACGCCGATGCGGTTTGGTTATTTTGGTTATTTTTGACGTAGATGCGATCCTTATCACATCTATTTCGACATTTTATACACCGACGTGAACCTAGCAAACAACTTAATAAAAAAACAAAATTCTTAATACTGTTCGATTTTACTTCATTTGTACCTGTTTGTACCACTTTTTGTTTCGTTTGTACCTCAAAGAATAAAAAGATAGAGGGGGGGGGGGAAATAGCCAGCAAGCAAGTATAAGATATCTGAAAACGGCCAACGCCATCCGAAAGAGAATCGTTTGTGCCCGTTTACCTCCCTTCAAATTGTTTGTACCTCAAAAGAATCGGAAGTACAGGATCTTCAAAAAACGTCCAAGAAGTACTTTCGTCAATTTTTGAGATATCGCGAAACGGCCATCGCTATTCGAAAGAGAATCGTTTGCACCCGTTTGTATCTCCCTTCAAATCATTTGTACCTCAAAGGGACCGGAAGTATAAAAGTAACCTTCCGACGTATTTTGAAGATCCTGTACTTCCGGTTCCTCTGAGGTTTGAAGAGAGGTACAAACGGGTACAAACGATTCTCTCTCTCTCGAATGGCGTTGGCCGTTTTCGGATGTCTTATACTTGCTTGCTAGCTATTTTTCCTCCTCACCTTATCTTTTTATCCTTCGAGGTATAAACGAAACAAAACGTGGTACAAACAGGTACAAACGAAGTATAATTTTTTTTCTTTTTATCGAGTTGCTTGCCAGGTTCTCACATCGGTATTTTATACTCGGTGATTCCTGTATTCTACATTGATTTATTTCGTTGCTTAATTTCTCACTAACGCGTAAAGGGCATGCACGGATCTTAGTTATTTTGGACCTGGATTAAATCCTCATCACTCATGTTTCGATAGCTTATACTTGGGTGACCCGTCAGTTTCGCATCGATCGATTACAACGTCTTAGAGTTAATAGCTCCACAACGCGTAGCGCTACGTTGACGTAGTTTGTGAGGATCTTAGTTATTTTGATTAGATTCTTGCAACGGATATTTCAATCACGTACACTTGATGTTCCGTATTTGCTGCATCGCCTCGTTACTTTTGTCAAGGATGAACAAATAATTTGTAAAATAGCGCGTAAAATCACTACCGTGATAGCATTAAAAAATACGTCTTTGATTTACATTTTATGATGTTGTCTTGTACAGCGCTGTACTTCGCTCTTAACTTTACTCTTAAGCTAACACAGCCACTAATTTTAATGGAATAGTCGGAGCAAAAGAGAAAAAAATGAGGAACACAGCAGCGAATTTGCGACGGGAAGGCATTTAATTTCCGCGCAAGTAGCGTTCGATCGCGCTAAAGTTGCCACGCTAGCTTAATGGACGTAAGTACATCCCAAGAAATGTGTCCTCCGATAATCTACTTTAATTGGTACTGGATACAAGCTCGGGCGAACTTTGGCCGCTTTTAAAGTTGTCTCACGAATACCGTCGAGATTTACGGGGGAAATGCAAGTTTTAATACATTAGAGAATGCGCGCCCTTATGACGCTCTTTTTAACGCGCCCGAGTCGGGTAAATAGCGCGCGAGAGGCGGCGGGTCTGCTCGAATTAACCCTTTCGTTGCGGAAAGTAATATTGCTCAAACTGCCATTTCGTCCTCCTGAGAGGGAAGCAGCTCGCGAGATAAAAGAGGCACGCGTGCGCCGCTCCGCCACTTTTTCCAAAACTGTAAGCCCCGATTCACAATAGGTGTAGTAAGCCTTTGGCCTTTTACTCTAAGCTGGAAACTATGACTTAATTCTCGGCTAAAAGCCGAAATTCCCCGCTGCTGCGAGAAGTCGTAATCCTTAAGCTTGAAGCGAGCTCGTCAGATTCCAGCTGTCGGAGGCAGCGTGAGAAATATTTTTTCGCGGAAATCGTAGGACTTGGGGAGGCGAGGGGGGGGGGGACGAACGACCAAGAGCTTATTACAGCTCACTGTGGACCGGGCCTAACAGCGGCGCTTCGCGTCGCAAACTATACCATTAGCCGAGGAGCATCCTCACACTCGGGAGGAGTTAATAGAATCGTACGATACGATACGTGACGATATAAACGAGCGCGAGGCACGATATAACGAGATGGTGCAAGATTGGCGGTGGCGGTGGCAAGTAGCCGGAAATAAACTTGTTGCGCGAGCTATCGGCAAATAAAATAATAACTGGAGCACGCGGAATTCGATTAAAGCGACGATCGCGATATTAAACGAGGCGCGCGCCGTGTGTGACAATCGACGAGCCCTGTCGCGTGTGTTAAAAAGTCCAACAAGAAGCACACACTGCGTGTCGGGCCGTCGCGCGGCGGTGGATACGTGCGCGCGATGTGGCGATATATTTTTTCCTCCTCCCCCCTCTTGCCGCTGCCGCTGCTGCTACTCTCCCGCTTCCCTCCCCTCTCGATTTTTGTCGGTCGAATTATCGCGCGACGGAAGCAATTGCACATCGCCGGATGAAATATTTTCCCACCTGTCTTCCTCTCCTTCCGCGCCGCTCCCACGGGGACGCGCCCGTTGAAAACATTTCGCGAAAACGGGCCAGACGGAAAGGGACGCTTTTCCTCCGCTGTGGCAATTTTTTCTGCTCTGTTTTCCAAAGAGGGGGGAAAACAGCGACGTGATTACGCCGAATGCGCGCGCGCGGCGTCAGCTATCGGGAGGATTTGAGCGGCGCGGGCACCGATTACGCGATCCGGCGGACGGGCGGGCGCGCGTCGTTGGAACTGCGTGCGTGTCGTTGCAGGTGAGAAAGGAAAATCAGCAGAATAGAATTCGAGAGGGAGCGCCGCAAAATGGGTAACGCGAGAGCTCGCGAGCGTTACATTTGCAAGGGCCGCAATTTTCGGAAATCGCGATATCGCGCTGTTACGCCGGCCGCGAGCGAATTCTGCATCGGGGAAATAAACGATGTTTCACAGCTGATAAACTTGAGCGCGTCGGTGTGTTTACCGCTTGCCTAACCGATTAATATACTGACTGTTTCGCGAGCGAGGCTTGTTTTCGACGTCGAAGGTTACTCTGGATGGTTGAAATTTTGCCCGCCGTGCGCGGAGCAAGAATTCAGATTTAGCGTCGCCCCGCGCGCGTGTCGTCGGCGCGGCGGAGGGGGGGGAATTTCGGAGTTCGGAAACTCGTCTAAATTGGCTCCGTAGCTCCTCGAAATTAAAGGAATTTTCTTCATGCCGCGTGTTCGGATCCCGGAGCAAGTACGTCTCGGCTCGTTTCTAACTCCGCGGGCCGCGGGCGTTCTTTCGCGGGATCTCACATGCTTCTCATTCCGCGAAAAACAGGCGAGCGCGTAAAAGGAATATGCGATCCTCTCGGTAGTAAATAACGAAATGTGCTCGTGAGCGGTGCTCGTGATTTATCGATCCTGTTCATCGTCACGATCATTCATGGTGGATCAACGTGCCGACGTTTTCGTGTTCGCAGGTTCAACGAGGGAAGACCGGCGGCGACGGCGGCGGCGGGTCGAATGATAAGTTGAGGAGCGGAGGACGAGTTCAGTCGCGGCAATGAGAGTTTGAGTCGCACGGGAAGTGCTTTCAAGAGTGCCTGGGTCCTGGTTCGCGCGCGTTTCGTCAGCGAAACAGAGTGAGAGGGAGAGAGGAGACGGAAGACGACGAGTGCTGTAAAAAGGAAGCTGAGAGAGGAGCGAGTGTGTGTGTCGCTGACACGCGCGCGCGCGCGAGTTGACGCGACGCGACGCGACGCGACGCGACGTGACGCGCGGCGTGACGTGACGTCGGGGCGTCGAGATGCCTCGAGATGAGATGGCCACCCCCGTTGGAACCCTCGCGTCACTTCTCACGCTCCTGCTGTGTGCTTTCAGTAGCTGCCATGCCAGGATAACCAATCAGGAAATCGGTGAGTGGCTCAAGCTAAAACAATTTGTTATTAACGATCGGCGCCGGCGGCGAGTCTCTGAGGGATACACGGGGGGAACACAGGGGGAATTTGTTATGTACTTATTTAAATTATTCGACCGGACCGGGCGTGATTAAGCGCTCGGAGAAATTTGCATGAGCGGCGACATCTTGGACACCGGTAATCCGAGAGGATAGGAAAATGGTGGAAGAAAAAAACGAGACATCGTCGTTAACGTCGGAGTGTCTCCCGATCGTTCCAATGTATGCGTGTATACCCGAGTCGAAATTTTGTAGAATCGAATCTTACAAGCGATGATTTGTGCTCCCGATATAATGCTCCTTGCGCTGCAAACTTTGCTTCTTTTTATCTGTTTAGCTTCGTTATTGCAATCGAGTCCCCAAGTTGAAGTATCTATTGATGCGCGGCATTATTCGGACGTTCAAATCTTTCCCCTTACAATTCCTCTCCTTTCAGTCTTTTTGAATGTTAAAAAATAAAAGTAAATTATCAGTGGCCACATTACGGTAAAAAAGAGAAATTTTTTTGTCGTTTTTTTACCACATCCACATTAATTCTTGTTGAATTATTTAATATTTGTTCATTGTGCGTTCTGCAGTAAAATAAATTATACAGTTTATTACGCATTGAAATTGAAAATGAACGTTCAAATTCAAATCGAATATCATAAAGAAAACAATATTGAGATTTAATTGGGCGATAAATAAAATTTCCAATATTCCCATTCCCTCATTTTGTAAAAGTTCATACACGTGGAGATGATCCCTTTTTAAGCCTTTGCGCGGAGTAGGTGGCAATAAGTAACCGTACGTAATAGCAACGGATGAGACAATGCATATAGCCTGTAGCGTAATCCCGAGATTCTCCATTGGTTCTTCAAGTTGGACGAAACTTGCAGGGTTAATGTAGGAGCGAAATTTCGACCTGGATATACGCTATCGCGCGAAACACCGTTAAACCCTTCGCCCAGATATTAGTCTCTGCGGAGCGTCGCGATGTTTTTCCGACACAAACATCTGACATGTTTTCATACCTTTGATCGAGAGAAAGTTACAACTTACGATCCTCCGCGGCAAAGCCATTGTCAGTGCTCGGGATAGAAAAACAGTCGATGCGAGTGAATCCGCGGCGGAATGTGGTATTTCTTTTTTTATTTTTTCAGGTAAAAGCTCGGTATGTGGTTTGAAAAACGGACGAAAATCGCGTGCCAATGCACGCTCGCGCAACGCGCTTTTTTTCCCAATATGTATCGGTAATATAAATACGGCCGGTCGTTACGTCATATCGACGCTGCCCAGCGCGATATTGAATTTGTGGTGTGGCTATATGTGCGTTTCCGAAGAGTTAAATAATGGAGAGCGACGGTGTTTCGCGCGTGTTTTCATTGGTCGCGCGTGGCGATTCTTCCGTGTGTCCACGGAGCGTCGCATCCTTTGCCAAGCATTGCGGCCATTGCGACGTCTGAGAGATATCGTACACCGCGAGAGCAGTTGTTTTCATCTCATCGTTTCATCATCATCATCATCATCATCGTAATAACAATAATAAAAAGCGACTCGACGGTAAAAGAGTCACGACGGCATATTACGCGACCTGCGCGCCGCGTGTGCGTGCGACTGCACGCTAAAAACGGGCATTCCCCGTCGAAGCGACGAATATCGACTGCTCATTACGCGCGATCTTGTTTCGACGCAACCGCGCCCTGCGCGCGCGCGCGCGCGCGAACGTTGAGTGAATCTATCACTCTTGTCAATAGATAATTCTGACGGTGAATTATTATTCACTGTCGATTGTTGCGCGCAACTCGACTCGACGTCGGAGCAGCGGCGTTACGAAACGCACGATTTGTCTGTCATTTTCGACATGTTTATGTTATTATTCTGTCGACGGTATATATATATATATATATATATACGTACTACAGGCCAGCTCGCAAATAAGATGTAAATGCAATCTGTCTGCGTTGAGAGGCAGATTTGAAGAAAAGTCTCAACTCAAACAATATCATGAGCCATTAAGCGCGTCTTTCCTTCCCGCGCAATTAAATGATTTATCGCAAGTTTTACGATCGCTTATCTTCGAGAGTTTTATAAACGCGAAAGCGCGGTGTCGCGCGCGAGAGGAAAAAAACCGTCTTTATCTAGGAGAAGCTAATGGGATTGTATAATGTTCCCCGGCACACTGAGACACTTTTCCCTATATCACTTTTTTCCCCTCCCCCCGCCGTCTCTAATATGTTTCGCGGCGCGCGCCGCGGAACTCGAAGTGAAATGTACCCGCGCGGCGCGCGGTATACGTGTATACATACATATTTCTTAATAATTCCGACTTTCTTTTTACACGAACGAGCCGAGGCACGCGACACTCTTTGCGAGTCGGACATTATTCCAATTTTCGCTAGCGTCGCGCCGCTTTGTGTACCGCGGGACAAAGCGACGTATACTTTTGTTGCTAACGTGGCAATTGAATCACCCGGTGACAAAAGCCACCGGGTATGCCGACCGCGTAATTTCGTTCCTCGGGCGTGAAAATGAGGGGTTTTTAACCCATTTTACACACCGCGGGTCTAACGAGATCGCCGTGTCGTCGTTATTTTGTGGACCATCAAGGCCGAGCGCCGTGCTGCATGCGAAAAGAAAATGCGCGGCGGACTGTTTCAGGATTCGCCACCCTCCCTGCACCCCCATCTCTCTCTCTCTCTCTCTCTCTCTCTCTCTCTCTCTCTCTCTCTCTCTCTCTCTCTCTCCCCCTCCCTCCCTCCTCTCTTTTCCTCCTGCCTGTCTTCCTCTCACGCGAAATTACATTGTCGTCCTTCGAGACGCGCGGCTCCGAATTTTCCGTCGATAAATCATTTCATCGAAATGGAGATTGTTGGAGGTACTCGCGCATACTGAATCGTCTTTCTGACGTAATTGTGAAAATGTATTTAATTGTCTCCGGCTGCTATATCAACTGAAAATTGAACTGGATCAACTGAAAACTGAAAACGGTCGGCGCGAATATACGCGTTTCCCGGGATGGAATATCCGGATGAAATTTAATATGAATTTTCGTCGAAAATGCGTCTCGCAGTGAGAATCTCACGATACGCATCAGATTATTGTTGTAAATCAATTATAATATATCGTATATATTTGTCGCTTTATATAAAACTCCACTTATATAGGAAGATTATTAATGGTCGATAACGTTCGCACACATACACGCTCGAACGATCGTTTACGATATCGTTTTTCGAAGAAATTCTCAACGACGCTTCGAAAGAGAGATCGTAGTTTACGGATTTTTTTCTTTTCACATCGCAGCCCGCAAAAGTTTCGAGAATTCGGAAAGATCCGGAGAAGTTACGAATGTGCCGCTCTCATGCCGCAGATTCGAAGAAGTATATAAATTTCGCGAGTTTTTTACTCGAAGACCTCTCCACCTCGCGCAGCGGCATCACTCCAATTAAAAAATTGACTACGTTACAAATTGGTAGACTGGCGCGCTTCAATCCAGTCTGGTAATTCATGTAGCGCCGGTAATTACCAATTCCGCGGATGTAATTCTATACATCGGTCGGACCGATTCGAGTGACCGTAGGTTAATTTCTTAGACAAACTTGCACGCGCTTAAAGCTCAACGCGATCGCGGACGTCAGCAGATCAGCTGCGTGCAGTCAGGCGGATTCGTTTCGCGTTTAAATATTTACCGATCGACCGGATCTCTCTCCCCCACCCTCTCTCTCTCTCTCTCTCTCTCTCTCTCTCTCTCTCTCTCTCTCTCTCTCTCTCTCTCTCTCTCTCTCTCTCTCTCTCTCTCTCTCTCTCTCCTCCCCCTATCTTTCTCTCTGACTCCCTGACTCTCCAAAAGCTCGTAGTGCTTCTCACGACGGCAACAGCAACAACAATAGGGAAACAACAACAACGAGAAAATAAGTGAGTTGAGATCGGAGTGTAGTTGACGCGTTACTCGCACTTGGCCGCGCCAAAGTCTAAATGACGTCGAGTGTGTTTTATTTAATGTTGAGCGCGCGAAACGGAAGTAATTACGGATAGCCGGAGCGTAAAGGTAGAAAATGTGGTTCGTGAGATCGAGGGTTTCCCAGACTCCAGCGACTAATTAAACGAGTTCGGGCCACGTGGCTTCGAACATTTCGATAATTGTAGATTAATTAAAATTGCGAGGAGCGCGGCGGCCGTAACGAAGAACGGAACTGAATCCGCCGGCTCGACTCTATCGCGAGGATGTTGAATCTGCGGCGAGACTGCGGGATCGAGCTTGCGGGCTCAATGAAACGAAAAATGTGGGAAGCTTTTAGCGGCGTCTCGCGATTTCGCGCATGAACGCGCGATCGTTGATTGTTGGCCCTCCTCTCCGCGACGCTTACCTCCCCTCGGCGCGACCTCGCTTTCGTCCTCCTCGTTAATCCAAGCAGCTGTGTCTTTTTTATGATACGCCGATATTTTTCGCCGACATCAATCCGAGCCGTGACGAGCGACGTGTACCTTTCGACGTGCATTTCGAATCGGACATTCCGCGAATTTATGACGGACACGTTCGTTAAAATGGATGCACCTCGGCTCGGAATCGCGAATCTTCGATCCCTCGCCTCGGAGGGGTACGAATTTCCGAAATTTCCCAACATGACCTTTGTCTCTCGAGAGAGAGATTCACGGTGTAACTTATTAATCCAAAGTGTAAAAGAAAAACGCCGGTGTGTGGAGAAGCGTGCGCAGCGAGAGGCGAAGCGCAGCGCAGCGCAGCGCAGCGCCGAGGGAGACGCCTCGCCTCGTAAAGTTAATATAAAATACGAACGCGCTCGCGAGATTTACCGCGATGTAAAATTAATAGCCGTAATTCGTTCCCGAGGCCTACAGCTCTCGACCGTCGCGTGGATGGATTAATTAGGGATTCTTCGCGGTTGCGGCGTTGCAGACGTGATCTCGCGCGAAAGGCCGCGCAGGATCGCGCAGACTATCGCGCGGCTTTCGGTCCGT